GCCCTCCCTCCCCCACCTTACTCTGATCAGTTAACTTCTCTCCATTCCCAAACAATGGAGGCAGAGCCCAGAAACACTGGAACATCCGGAACTTGTAACCCGTACTGTTTTCTTACTGTGTGAAGTCACTCCCGAGCATAAAGGGTGCCACAATCACCGCATATCACAGGCAACCGACAGATTTACACGGAAACTGATATAGTTGCCCACGCGCACAGTCCTACAGTCACATGACAGGTATTAATAAATCGGTTAACAGTCATGTAAACAGATTAAGATGGAGGATATCGTTCATTAAACCATCGTTGTGCTTTTCGGGGACAGTCGAATTGCAGCGTCTCATCACTGAGGTCCACTCGAAGGCGAGCAGGGTATCTGAGAGAAGACCGCACATTTCTCTCACGCAGGCTGTTTCTCACCAGAGCGATGGCCGCCCTCCTCTTAGCGACGCTGGAGCTGAAGTCAGGAAAGAGGAAAACCTTGCGGCCCTGATGGAAAAGTTGGTCCCAATTCCCACGTCGAATCACTTTTTCTCTGTCATGAAGATAGTGGAAGCTCACAATCATAACTCTGGACCTCTGTTTCTCCCGCTGCTCCTCCGAGGACATGGGACTGATACGATGGGCTCTATCCAGCAATGGAGCGGTCGGAAAGATATCCGATCCGAGGACATCCTGGAAAAACTTTGACATAAACGTGACCGGATCGCTCCCTTCTTCTCGTTCCGGAATACCGATGACCCGGAGATGGCAGCGCCGTGAAGGGGACTCCAGGTGCTCCACTTTATCGGTGAGGTGCTTGTTAGCTGAAGCCAGCTGTAGCACGGTCTCTTCCAGCGTTACAATTCGGTCACTGTAATCATTCAGGTTCTGCTCAAGCTCGCCAATACGCCGTCCTTGTGACTCGCGACGCGATAACTGGGGCCAGAGCCGAGTTAATAGCCGCTGTCACCTGCGCTGCGATGGTAGAAGTCAGCTCCGTGATTAAAGTTGCGCGGAGATTTTCTAAGTCCAGAGGGAGCTTGCCGCCACGACTCGCTGTGCAGGGTGTAGATTTAAGTTTGCGTTGTCTTTCAGACGCCATAACTCCCTTCTGGTTATAATTGTAAACCAAGTACTTTAACACAAAGGCACTAAATGCGTCTGAAAAGACAGAAAAGGTTCAGGTTGCCTGAAAAGCAGAATTAAAACAGAAAATACTCGAGAGCTCCCTTCATGCGTGCCTTCTCCCTCACATGCTCAACCGGACCTCAGGCAGCGGTGTCTTCAAAGGTGCTATCATGATGCTATGATCAAAATAGCACGTTTTTTATAATTGCCAAAACCCCAGAATTGAACCAGGGACCTTCAGATCTTCAGTCTGACACTCTCCCAACTGAGCTATTTCAGCACCTGCTAAAGCGAAACCTTACTTGTTGAGCCAAAAATTTAGAAAAACTCTCATGAACAGAATTTTGCCTTTTTTTTCCTTTAAGTTTTTCTAGGTTCCACTTGTATTTGTTATGGGATTAATGGATTCAATCTCCCAACTGAGTTGTATTGGGCAATGCACACAAAATCAGTACTGTATCCAACAAAAATCAGAAAAGGTCCATTTACATCTTGAAAGGAATTTTCTTCATATAGCAACCAGGAACCTGCCACCATCAGACCTCTAGACTAATGTTCCCCAGCCATGTTATTTCAGGAAAATCAAATGTGGGCTCAAAATCATTGACCAAAGAATTCAGACTTGGCCCCTGTTCAAATTCAGGAGAATTGGCAACTGAATCATCTTTACAAGAGATGTGAAATGGGATCACTGGATTCAAAGTTCCCAAAGCGCATTTGTTTCGCCATTGCACACAAAATCACTAGTATATAAAGCAAAAAAACGGAACTGTTTCATATTCACATTATCAATTTCCTGGGACAATTGAACTAGCCAACTTTTGCAATGCTAAGCTTCTGTTGAGACAGTTTGTCTACTTTCATAGAAACATCACTGTCAGCTAGTGGTAGGTTCCAATGAGATTTGAACTCATTTGAACTTTAGTTTTTTCTAGGTTCCACTGATATTTGATGTCGGATCCATGGATTCAATTTCTCCCAAGTGAGTTGCTTTGGGCAATGCACACAAAATCAGTACAGTATCCAACAAAAATCAGAAAAGGTCCATTTACATCTCGACTGGAATTTTCTTCTTAGAGCAAGCAGGAACCCACCACCATCAGAGCTCCAGACTAATGTTCAGACTAATAAAGCAAAGAAGAGAATTGTAAAATGTTAAAAACTTCAGCGGAACTAGACTTTTGCAAGCAAAGCTTCTGTTGAGACATTTTGTCAACTTTCATTAAGACACCATTGTAAACTCACGGTAGGTTCCACTGAGATTTGAACTCAGATCACTGGATTCAGAGTCCAGAGTGCTAACCATTACACCATGGAACCAAGCTGCATTATTGTCTGTGTTTTATCCAGATGATCACTGCCACAAACTGGCCAAGCAGCATTAATGAGCTTGGGCTTCTTGGAGGCAGCGGTTTCTTCAAAGGTGCTATGATCAAAATAGCACGTCTTTTATAATTGCCGAAACCCGGGATTGAGCCAGGCCTTCGGACCTTCAGATCAGGTTAATGCTCCGCTTTCCCAACTGAGCTATTTCTGCACCTGCTACAGCAAAATCTTACATGTTGAGCCAAAAATTTGGAAAAACTCTCATGAATAGAATTTTCCCATTTTTTTCCTTTTAGTTTTTCTAGGTTTCACTTGTATTTGTTATGGGATTAATGGATTCAATCTCCCAACTGAGTTGTATTGGGCAATGCACACAAAATCAGTACTGTATCCAACAAAAATCAGAAAATGTCCATTTACATCTTGAAAGGAATTTTCTTCATATAGCAACCAGCAACCTGCCACCGTCAGACCTCTAGACTAATGTTCCCCAGCCATGTTATTTCAGGAAAATCAAATGAGGGCTCAAAATCATTGACCAAAGAATTCAGACTTGGCCCCAGATCACATTCAGGAGAATTTGCAACAGAATCATCTTTACAAGAGATGTCAAATGGGATCACTGGATTCAAAGTTCCCAAAGTGCGTTTGTTTGGCCATTGCACACAAAATCACTAGTATATAAAGCAAAAAACTGAACTGTACCATATTCGCATTATCATATGTCTGGGACAGTTGAACTAGCCTTTTGCGACGCTAAGCTTCTGTTTAGACAGTTTGTCTACTTTCATAGAAACATCATTGTCAGCTAGTGGTAGGTTCCAATTAGATTTGAACTCATTTGAACTTTAGTTTTTTCTAGGTTCCACTGATATTTGATGTCGGATCCATGGATTCAATTTCTCCCAAGTGAGTTGTTTTGGGCAATGGACACAAAATCAGTACAGTATCCAACAAAAATCAGAAAAGGTCCATTTACATCTCGACTGGAATTTTCTTCTTAGAGCAAGCAGGAACCTGCCACCATCAGAGCTCCAGACAATGCACACAAAATCAGTACTGTATCCAACAAAAATCAGAAAAGGTCCATTTACATCTTGAAAGGAATTTTCTTCATATAGCAACCAGCAACCTGCCACCGTCAGACCTCTAGACCAATGTTCCCCAGCCATGTTATTTCAGGAAATTCAAATTTGAGCTCAAAATCATTGACCAAAGAATTCAGACTTGGCCCCAGATCACATTCAGGAGAATTGGCAACAGAATCATCTTTACAAGAGATGTCAAATGGGATCACTGGATTCAAAGTTCCCAAAGTGCGTTTGTTTGGCCATTGCACACAAAATCACTAGTATATAAAGCAAAAAACTGAACTGTACCATATTCACATTATCATTTATCTGGGACAATTGAACTAGCCTTTTGCAACGCTAAGCTTCTGTTTAGACAGTTTGTCTACTTTCATAGAAACATCATTGTCAGCTAGTGGTAGGTTCCAATGAGATTTGAACTCATTTGAACTTTAGTTTTTTCTAGGTTCCACTGATATTTGATGTCGGATCCATGGATTCAATTTCTCCCAAGTGAGTTGCTTTGGGCAATGCACACAAAATCAGTACAGTATCCAACAAAAATCAGAAAAGGTCCATTTACATCTCGACTGGAATTTTCTTCTTAGAGCAAGCAGGAACCTGCCACCATCAGAGCTCCAGACTAATGTTCAGACTAATAATGCAAAGAAGAGAATTGTAAAATGTTAAAAATTTCAGGGAAACTAGACTTTTGCAAGCAACGCTTCTGTTGAGACAGTTTGTCAACTTTCATTAAGACACCATTGTAAACTCATCGTAGTTTCCACTGAGATTTGAATTCAGATCACTGGATTCAGAGTCCAGAGTGCTAACCATTACACCATGGAACCAGGCTGCGTTGGTGGCTGTGTTTTTTCCAGATGATTACTGCCACAAACTGGCCAAGCAGCATTAATGAGCTTGGGCTTCTTGGAGGCAGCGGTTTCTTCAAAGGTGCTATCATGATGCTATGATCAAAATAGCACGTCTTTTATAATTGCCGAAACCCAGGATTGAGCCAGGGTCCTTCAGAGTTTCAATCTAACGCTCTCCCAACTGAGCTATTTCTGCACCTGCTACAGTGAAATCTTACATGTTGAGCCAAAAATTTGGAAAAACTCTCATGAATAGAATTTTTCCTTTTTTTTTCTTTTAGTTTTTCTAGGTTCCACTTGTATTTGTTATGGGATTAATGGATTCAATCTCCCAACTGAGTTGTATTGGGCAATGCACACAAAATCAGTACTGTATCCAACAAAAATCTGAAAAGGTCCATTTACATCTTGAAAGGAATTTTCTTCATATAGCAACCAGCAACCTGCCTCCGTCAGACCTCTAGACCAATGTTCCCCAGCCATGTTATTTCAGGAAAATCAAATGTGGGCTCAAAATCATTGACCAAAGAATTCAGACTTGGCCCCAGATCACATTCAGGAGAATTGGCAACAGAATCATTTTATAGGAGATGTCAAATGGGATCACTGGATTCAAAGTTCCCAAAGTGCGTTTGTTTGGCCATTGCACACAAAATCACTAGTATATAAAGCAAAAAACTGAACTGTACCATATTCACATTATCATTTGTCTGGGACAATTGAACTAGCCTTTTTCAACGCTAAGCTTCTGTTTAGACAGTTTGTCTACTTTCATAGAAACATCATTGTCAGCTAGTGGTAGGTTCCAATGAGATTTGAACTCATTTGAACTTTAGTTTTTTCTAGGTTCCACTGAAATTTGATGTCGGATCCATGGATTCAATTTCTCCCAAGTGAGTTGCTTTGGGCAATGCACACAAAATCAGTACAGTATCCAACAAAAATCAGAAAACGTCCATTTACATCTCGACTGGAATTTTCTTCTTAGAGCAAGCAGGAACCTGCCACCATCAGAGCTCCAGACGAATGTTCAGACTAATAAAGCAAAGAAGAGAATTGTAAAATGTTAATTTTTCAGGGAAACTAGACTTTTGCAAGCAAAGCTTCTGCTGAGACAGTTTGTCAACTTTTATTTAGACGCCGTTGTAAACTCATGGCAGGTTCCACTGAGATTTGATCTCAGATCACTGGATTCAGAGTCCAGAGTGCTAACCATTACACCACGGAACTGTGCTGCATTGTTGTCTGTGTTTTTTCCAGATGATTACTGCCACAAACTGGCCAAGCAGCATTTATTAGCTTGGGCTTCTTGGAGGCAGCGGTTTCTTCAAAGGTGCTATCATGATGCTATGATCAAAATAGCACGTCTTTTATAATTGCCGAAAGCTGGGATTGAGCCAGGGACCTTCAGATCTTCAGTCTAACGCTCTCCCAACTGAGCTATTTCCGCACCTGCTGCAGCAAAATCTTACATGTTGAGCCAAAAATTTGAAAAAACCTCATGAATAGAATTTTACCATTTTTTTTTCCTTTTCGTTTTTCAGGTTTCACTTGTATTTGTTATGGGATTAATGGATTCAATCTCCCAACTGAGTTGTATTGGGCAATGCACACAAAATCAGTACTGTATCCAACAAAAAAAACCTCAAAAAGGTCCATTTACATCTTGAAAGGAATTTTCTTCATATAGCAACCAGCAACCTGCCTCCGTCAGACCTCTAGACCAATGTTCCCCAGCCATGTTATTTCAGGAAAATCAAATGTGGGCTCAAAATCATTGACCAAAGAATTCAGACTTGGCCCCAGATCACATTCAGGAGAATTGGCAACAGAATCATCTTTATAGGAGATGTCAAACGGGATCACTGGATTCAAAGTTCCCAAAGTGCGTTTGTTTGGCGCCGCACACACAAAATCACTAGTATATAAAGCAAAAACCTGAACTGTACCATATTCACATTATCATTTGTCTGGGACAATTGAACTAGCCTTTTTCAACGCTAAGCTTC